TGGTCCTTCGAGAGTTTAACATTTTTACTTATGCTAGTGATTTCTTACACCTGCTTTTAAGACGTGAAGACTCCATACTGGCGTAGTGGGTTGAGCATTGAGTTGTTAACCGCAAGGTCAGTGGTTCAAAGCCACCCAGTGCTCGAAGGGAGGAAGATGGGGCTGTGAAGATTTGCAGCCTGTGGAACTGCTCTCCTCTGTCCTACACGGGTTGCTATGAACTGGTATCCACTCTATGGGTGGCAGTGAGTTTGCTTTCGTTTTGTATTTTTTATGTTTTTAGGAAATGGGTCTTTAAACCATATGCTAATATGGGAAATAAAGCAATTCATTGAAATTCACTTTTGTCCAAACCTTCATGGTGCTTAACAACAACAACAACAAACAGAAGAGAACACACATAAAGGTGGAGGAATTTGTGTTGCTAACCAAATAAAATACGATCTCTTCTGGGGGAAAAAACAACAACAACAAAAGAAATTTAAGCTGTAGCATAAAAACTAGCGTGTAAAGAAGGGGTTAAAACTTCTAGGTCCACTTCCTTAAAGCTTCCGAGCAGAGATGTGAAACCCCGCTGCAGAAAGCTGCTGCCTTCATCTACAGAGGTATCTCCCTCCACTTCAATTCAAATATCAAGGGGTCTCCAGCCACTATTCAACCACTTTCAGTAGACTTGGAATACAACTGGAGTCAGAACTTAAAATACAATAATCACCTCATTTTCACTCAAATAGATACCCAAAGACCTGTTGCTAAGGAACCAATTGCAACTCAGAAGGACCCTTGAAGAGATAGTTGGACCCCCCTACAGGGCTTCCAAGGCTGTAAATCATTATGGAAACAGATTGGGACATCTGTGTCCCGATGAGCCTTGGTGGGTTTTAACTGTCAGTCACTGGGTCAGCAGCTGGGCTCTTCTCCACTGTACCACCAGAACTCCGAATTAAGTATATATTAGCACTCAATTCAGCCAAAAAGCATGTCTAATAGACCTTGGTTTAAAACTGGTCTCACATATCTGAAAACACAAGCATTATGCACCAGGTAGGCTTTTATCATCATCTGCAATTTTGAAACCAAATTAAAAAGTGCAAAGAAAACGGGAAGGCTAGCCAGCCCCCAAAATCATACACAGATTTTCTTTTTTAAAGAATTTGCTTTAAGAAATGTCATTCCAAGTTAACCTCATTCTTTGCAGTAAAAGGTGCTAGGCTTTATTCGGTCCTACCCATTAACGACCCAAGATACAAACTGTCCTAGTGAACAACCGGTCACCCTCAGTCCAATACACATACCTTGCAATGACACCCAGTTACACGGCGTATCAACTGTGACAGCAGACAAGATGGCGCCACAGGAAACGGGGGAGGTCACCACATTGCTCAGAGCAGAAGTGGTTTAGAAGTGAGGTGGGAAGAAAGCACCCACCAAACGTCCTCAAGAGAGCGCCGCAGTAGGAAGTGAACACAGGGATGCACGGTGCCCCTTCTCACACAGGAAGCCCACAAGTACTTCTGGTTTTACAAACTGTGAAGTCGGATTGACCTCACTTGGCACATCCATGCCGGGCATTTGTTGTTGTGTTAAGTACTGTCGAGTCGGTTCTGACTCACACTGACCCTGTGTAGGGTTTCCAAGGAGAGGCTGGTGAGTTTGAACCACCGACCTTGCAACTCAGTGTGGCCCAGTGTTTTATCCTACAGCGCCACACCAGGATTCTATCTTAGCCGTATAGTGCTGCAATAGCAGAGACACCACAAGGGGGTGGAGTTAACAAACAGAAATTGATTCGCTCTCTTTAGGAGGCTGTTGTTGTTGTTGTTGTTAAGTGCCATCGAGTCGGGTCCGACCCATAGCGACCCTGTACAGGGTTTCCGAGGGTGTAAATCTTTACGGGAGTAGAAAGCCTCATCTTTCTCCCGCGGAGCGGCTGGTAGTTTCGAACCGCTGACCTTAAGGTTCGCAGCCCGATTCACAACCACTACGCTACCAGAGCTCCTCTTTAGGAGGCTAGAGGTCCAAATTCTGAGTCCCAGGTCCAGGAGGAGGCATACTCTCTGTCAGCTCTGGGGAAATAGTCTTGTCTCCTTCAAGCATCTGTACGCCCAGCATTCCTTGGGGCTTCCCATAGAGTTTGGATTTAGGAGTTTCCAGTGCGGGGACCCCAGGTCCAAAGGATGCAGTGCACTCCTGTCTCTTCATTCTTGGTGGCAATAGGTCCCTGGCATTTAGTTCCTGTTTAATATAACACCTGCAAGCACACTGATTCAACGAATGATGCTAATCTACAGATGTAGGCTAGAGGCTCGTTTGCTGTTGTTACAAGCCATCAAGTCAGTGCTGACTCAAAGCGACCCTGTATGGAGTTTCCAAGGAGCAGCTGGTGGGTTTGAACCGCCGACCCTGCGGTTAGCAGTGCAGTGCTTTTCCTACAGCATGGTAACTTGGGTGATGGGGAAGCAAAGTACAACAAGAGGCAGGTTGGCAGTGGAAAGATGCAGGAAGTAGAAGACACGGGGACGAATGCAGCAATGGCATCAGAGATGGAGGCAGAGATGAGGACATGGAGAGAGGGAGCAGCTGAGGACTCTAGACTCATGGAAAGAGAGGGACTGAGAGCTGGTGGCTAGGAGGTACGCTTACAGAATGTGCCCATTGGTTGTTTAAATTATATATTCCTCAGTGTTTTTGCGTAACCCCTATCCCCTCCAAAAAAAAAAAACAAAAACAGACAATAAAAGCAAATCTGTTGAATGATGTTGCACGGAGGAGATTGTAATCATTGCAATGAAACGATGGTATAAAACTAATGTTTCCCCATGTAAACTATCACTCAGTTCACAATAAAAACTTCAACAGTAATGGAGGTAAATAATGTGAACTGATGGTAGATGGAGGAGACTGCAAGCATGGTAATGAAACCAAGTGTAGGATTTGTTGAATGTAAAACTGATGATCTACTCTGTAAAACTTCCCTCAATTCACAATAAAAAGTGGTTTTTTGGTTAACATAGGTAATCATACTGCAGAGGCTTGTGCATTGCTGTGATGCTGGAAGCGAAGTCACAGACAGTCCCTACACCAACAGGACCACTCATGGTGGACAGGTTCCAGCAGAGCTTCCAGACTAAGAGAGACCAGGAAGAAAGGCCTGGGTATCTATTTCCAAACATTAGTCAATGGGAACCATATGGTCATAACAAAACATTGTCCCACTTGCTTGTTTTGGCCACATGACTGGGAGTGGTCAGTTCCTGAAGGAGGACGTGGAGGGCCAGTGAGGATGAGGAAGGTTCTCAGTGCAGTGGACAGGCACAGGATCCCCAGTGATGGCCTCAAGCATGCCTGTGACTGTGAAAATGGTACGAAAGCCCCAGCATCAGGACCACCACCACGAGTCAGGCAATCTCCAACTTAAAACAAGAGTGGGTTTCAAAACTGAAGGTTCGTCCAGATGCCAGTTATAGGACATTCCAGAAAAAGCATGATTACAGTGGCCCCAGATTGCTGGGGACCGGGGCATGGGCGAGGAGATAAGCACAGAGGACTGTTTGTTGTTGTTGTTGTTATGTGCCATAGAATCGGTTTCGACTCATAGCGACCCTGTATAGGGTTTCTGAGGAGCAGCTGGTGAGCTTGAACTGCCGACTTTGCAGTTCATATGGCTTTGCAGTCTGGCGCATTAACCCACAGGGCCACAGTGGTGGTTATGTGCCGTGGAGTCGGTTCCGACTCATAGCGACCCTGTACAGGGTTTCTGAGGCTGTAAATCTTTATGGGAGCAGAAAGCCTCATCTTTCTCCCACGGAACAGCTGACTGTTTAGGGGAAAGAAACTGTTCTTGATATCAACTACAGAAAACATTAAATGTCTGCAAACTCCAAAGTTGATCAGGGTGTGGAAAATGAGTGCATTTTCAAAACCATAAAAATAGACCAGAGGTGGTGGAACCCTGAGATGGTGTCCCTTCAACACCCCTCCAACCTGGAAGTGACCCCACCCTCAGAGGTTACCTTTCAGTCAGACAGCAGACAGGCTTATAAAGGGAAGAAAGAATGACAGTGTTAGAGGCCGTGCTCCTCAAAATACCAACCATGTGAGACCAAAAGGGCAGCATTTGACCGGGCACAAAGCTCGGGAGGCAGGAAGGGACTGGCAAGAAGGATGAATGGAAACGGGGAACCCAGGGAGGAAGTGGACGAGGACCGTTACACGGTAGAGTACAACCAACCAACATCACAAAACAAAATGTGTGTAAATTGTTGAATGGAAAACTAATTTTCTCTGTGAACTTTCATCCAAACCACAATTACATATATATGTGTGTGTGTGCATATGTATAGATATGAATGAATTTAGCTATATGTAAATTGTACCTTAGAAAACCATTTTTTTAAAAAAAATGAGGCTTCGTTACTTGCTTCCGGGGACTTTGAAATACATCCCATAAAAGGATGCTACAAATGGTGGTAAAGTTCCAAGCTAGAAAAATCTCCCTGCAAAAATGTGAACCATAATTTGGATGAAATTAAAAAGCCTGGAAACCCACTAGGAGACCCTGGTTGGTACAAACAGTTAACACACTTACGTGCGAACCAAAAAGTTAGAGGCTCAAGTTCACCAAGAGGTACCTCAGAAGAAAGACCTGGCAATCTACTTCCCAAAAAATCACCCCTTGTAAGCCCTGTGGAGCACAGTTCTATGTTGACACATGGGGCTGCCAAGAATTAGAATGGACTCCTCAGTAAGTGGTTTGCTTGTTTGTTGTTTTGCAAGGGATCCCACTGAGTCCGGACACTTCAGAACCACAGTCCCAGGAGATGTGATTTGTACTCTGAGACCAGGTTGTGAAAGGAGAAAGGGAGCCCGTGTGAGCTCAGCAATCAGGCCTGGAGTTGGGAGGAGACTGTGGGAGAGCTCAGGCACCTCCAGCAGTATAGGCCGAAGCTAACCCTGCTGGGCTGGCTCATTGGTTCCGAACACCCGCCACTCGTACTTACGAGCTGGAGAGAGGGAACGTCGGAGGCGCTTCTGCTCTGCCGATGGCACTGCTCAAAGTTTGATGGGAGAGTAAACTGCTTCCTTATTTCCGCAGAAGAGTACCTTGGATTGAGAAAGAAACATCGAAATGAAGTGACTGATTTTAAAAATCAACACTGTTACAGGTGTTACCTGCGTTATCATGCTATAAACCTGGGCCACGGCTGGGCTATTGGCAGAACCAACTGGAACATTCTCCATGGCTTGTGAGCGGAAACCTATGAGTTTTTGTCTGCTATTCCCACCACTTGTCTGTCAGTCTGTCGTACTGTGGTGGCTTGTGAGTTGCTGTGATTCTGGAAGCTATGCCACCGGTATTTTAAATACCAGCAGGGTCACACACGGTGGACAGGTTTCCGCTGAGCTTCCAGACAAAGACAGACTAGGAAGAAGGAGAGGCGGACCACTTCTGAATGGTTAGCCGCTGAAACCCTTATGAATATCAGTGGGACATTATCAGCTATGGTGCCGGAAGATAAGCCCCTCAGGTTGGAAGATACTCAAAGTACAACTGGGGAAGAGCTGCCCCCTCAAAGTAGAGTTGACCAGATGATATGAATGGAATAAAGCTTTGGGACCTTCATTCACTGATAGGGTACAACTCAAAATGAGGGGAAATAGCTGCAAATATCTATTAATAATCGGAACATGGAATGTACAAAGTATGAATCTAGGAAAATTGTAAGTTGTCAAAAATGAAATGGAACGCACGAAGATCAAAATCCTAGGCATTAGTGAGCTGAAATGGACTGGTATTGGCCATTCTGAATCAGAAAACCATATTGTTTAATATGCCAGGCATGACCGATTCAAGCAGAATAGTGTAGTATTGTCAAGAAGATTTCAAGATCTTGATTTACAATGCTGTCTGTGATAGGTTAATACCCCTATGACTAGAAAGAAGACCAGTTAATACTACTATTATTCAAATTTACATATCAACCACTAAAGCTAATAATTATGAAATTGAAGAATTCTACCAACTTCTTTGTGGGAGAAAGGTGAAGCTTTCTGCTCCCATAAAGATTTATAGCCTCAGCAAATCTATACAGGATGGTTATAAGTCAAAATTGATTTGATGACACAAAATCACCAACCAACAATGGCTTCTTTAGTCTGAAATTGACCAAACATGTAATCAAGATGCATTAATAATTACTGGTGATTGGAATGAGAAAGTTGGAAACAAAGAGGAAGGAAATGTAGTTGGAAAATATGGTCTTGGTGATAGAAACCACACTAGAGATAGCATAATAGATAGAGTTTTGAAAGACCAATGCCTTATTCATTGCAAATATCTTTTTTAAACAACATAAAAGGCGACTACAAACCTGGACCTCACTAGATAGAATACACAGGAGTCAAACTGACTACATTTGTGGGAAGAGACTGTAGAAAAGCTCCATATCATCAACCAAAACAAGGCCAGAACAGACAGTGGAACGGACCATCAACTGTTCAGGCTGAAGCTAAAGAAAATTAAAACAACTCCAAGAGCGCCAAAATATGACTTTGAACATAACCCACCTGAATTTACAGACAAATATTGATGCATTAGACACTCATCACCAAAGACCAGAAGAGTTGTGGGATGACATCAAGAACATCGTATTGGAAGAAAGCAAAATGTCATCAAGAAGACAGGAAAGAAAGAAAAGACAAAGCCGGTTGTCAGAAGAGACTCTGAAACTTGCTCTTGGGAGCAGAGAAGCTAAAGAGTCTAGAAGAAATGATGAAGTTAAAAGTGCTGAACAGAACATTTCAAAAGGCAGCTTGAGAAGACAAAGCTAAATATTATAATGAATTGTGCAAAGACCTAAGCTTAGAAAACCAAAAGAGAAGGAACACGCTCAGCATTTTCTCAAGCTGAAAGAACGGAAGAATTAAGTCAAACCTCGAGTTGCAAAATTGAAAAATTCTCTGGACAAAATATTGAATGATGCTGGAAACATCAAAGAAGATGAAAGAAATACAGAGTCCTTTACCAAAAAATAAATGGATGATGTTCAGTAAATTCAAGAGGTACCATAGGACCAAGAACCAATGTCAATGAGAAAGAGGTCCAAGCAGCGCTGAAAGCTTCAGCGAACAAGACTCTGGAAATTGACGGAATACAAATTGATATCATTCAACAAATGGCTGCCATGGTGGAGGTGCTCACTCATCTATGCCAAGAAATTTGGAAGACAGCCACTTGAGCAACAAACTTCCATATTATATGTGCCCATTCCAAAGAAAGGCAACCCAACAGAATGCAGAAACCATTGAACAATATCAATATTACATTCAAGTAAAATTCACTGACGATTACTTTAAAACAGTTGTAGTGGTATATCAGTAGGGAGTTTTCAGAAATGTACGCCGTATTCAGAAGAGGACATGGTATGAGGAATGCCAATGCTGACATCAGCTGGATATTACATGAAAGCATGTTGTTGTTGTTATGCATCATCGAGTTGGTTCCAACTCATAGTGACCCTGTAAACGGTTTGAACAACCGACCTTGGGGTTAGCAGTCTAGTGCTTATCCTATAATGCTACAACAGAATATCAAAAAGGTGTTTACTTGTGTTTAGTTGAATATGCAAAGATATTCAACTGTGTGGATCATAACTATGGATAGCATTGCGAAGAATGGATATTCCAGAACACTGGATTGTGCTCACGAGAATCTGTACTTAGACCAAGGGGCAGTCATTTGAACAAAAAAAAGGGGATACTGAATAGACGAAAATGAGGAAAGGAGGGTGTCAGAGTTGGATCCTTTCACCAAACTTATTCAATCTTAATGCTGAGCAAATAATCTTACAAGATCGATTAGATGAAGAATAACGGGGCATCAGAATTGGAAGAATTCTCATTAACAACTTGTGATTTGCAGATGACACAACCTTGCTTGCCCAAAGCCAAGAGGACTTGAAATACTTACAGATGAAGATCAAAGACTATAATGTTCAGTATGGATCACACCACCCCTACGTAAAGAAAATAAAAATCCTCAAAACTGGACCCATAAATCACATCATGATAAAAAGAGAAAAGATTGAAGCTGTCTTCATTTTGCTTGCATCCACAATCAGTAAGTGCTCATAGAAGCAGCATTCAAGAAATTAAACCATGTACTGTATTAGGCAAATCTGCTTCAAAAGCCCTCTTTCAAGTGTTCAAGATCAAAGATGTCACTTTGAGGACTATGACAGTTAAAGGTTTGTGTCACTTTGACTGAGCAGGATTCTCCAGTGGTTTGGCAGTTGAGATGTGGTAAGATTCACTACAGTGTTGTTAACTCTAGGATGATTGGCTATGAACAGTGTGTACTTTATAATGATTGGCTATGAGCAACCAATCAATTGAAAGGATGTCTCTTTGTGGGTGTGGCCTGCTTCCAACATAAGGGACATGCTGGAAAATCTTGTTTGCTTTCTGAGGGGCTGGATCTTGCACCTGGCTTGTCCTCCACCCCTGGTTCTTTAGACTTGAGCCAGTGGCCTGCTCTATTATCTGTCTGCCTGTCTGTCAGACCCGCCTGCCTACCTGAAGGACCCGGACGTGGGACTCTCTCACCTCTACAGTTGTGAATCACTTCCTTGATATCAATTTCTCTTTATATATATACACATATAAGTTTCACTGGTTTTGCTTTTGTAAAGAACCCAGCCTAAGACAAGGACTAAGGTGTGTTTGACACAAGCCCTAGTATTTTCAATCACCTCGTATGCATGTGAGAAAGTTGGACAATGAATACGCGAGGCTGTAGATGAGTTGATGCATTTGAGTTATGGTGTTAGAGAAGAATATTGAAGGTACTATAAAATTCTAAAAGAGCCAACCAATCAGTCTTGGAAGAAGGACAGCCAGAAAGCTTCTCTGAAGTGAAGATGGCCAAAGTTCATCTCACATACTTTGGACATGTTATCAGGCGGGACCAGCACCATGCTTGGTAAAGTGGAGGGTCCATGAAAATCAGAGGCCCTCAGTGAGACGGACTGGAACAATGGCCGCAACAATGGACTCAATTATAACAATTGTGAGGATGGCGCAGGGCTGGGCAGTGATTTCGTCCTATTGTGCAGAGAGTTACTATGAGTTACAGCACTTAACAACAACAGCAACAGCTTCCCAAGAGCCCCCGAATATCCTCTCAGGAGTCCCATACTCCCATTGTGTACTGTCTAGGAAGAACCAGAGACAGAGGTGTGAGCCCGCAGCCCAGGCAGGGCGCCATCTCTCCCTCCCAGGATTCTGCCTGGTGAACAGATTCCAGAGTGGAGGTAAACAGCGGGAGCTGCGTTTGCTGGCTCCTTGCAGCAGGAGGCAATGAGACCTGGAGAAAGTCAAGGCAGGCAGCAATAAACGCATGCCTTCATTTCCTGCAGCACTTTCCAAACACTCTGTAAGAAAATGTTCTTAAGCGCTGTGAAGTTGGTTCCAAATCCCAACAACCTCATGCATAACAGAATGAAACCCCACCCAGTCCTGTGCCATCCTCACAATTGCTGCTACGCTTGAGCCTACTGCTGCTGCTACTGTGCAAATCCGTCTCACTAGGGGGCTCCCTCTTTTTTGCTAACCCTCCACTTTATCACCAAGCATGATGTCCTTCTCCAGGGACTGATCCCTCCTGATATTTGCCTGAAGTATGAGAGATGAAGTCAGGCCATCTTGACTTCTAAGGAGCACTCTGGCTGTACTTGCTCCAACACAGATTTGTTTGTTGTGTTGCCTTTAGTATTTGCCTTCAAAGTCTAAGAAAATTGTTGTTGTTGCTAAGTGCCATCAAGTCGGTTCCGACCCATAGTGACCCTGTATGGGATTTCCAAGGAGATGTTTGTGAACTTGAACCATCAACCTTGCAATTCAAACGGCTTTGCAAAAATTGAGCATATGATTCAAAGAGGGAAGGAATCTTCACAGTAAGGATCATTCCCACCCTATCTGTACACAGGGTAGATAGGGATGGGCAACTTAGACATTGGGTACCTAAAATGGGGGCTATAAAGGCATGAAGTGACTGGCTTACAAGTTTTCAAGAGGGAGATTAGTATCAGAGGGTGCG